TGGGGTTCTCCTCACCCTTGTGTTGCTTCTTGGCTGCTGCACCACTCTCCTCATGTTCACCGAGCTTGCTGATCCCTCCAAGATTGCACTTCTTGGACTTAATCTCCTTAGCGCGACCGTTAGCGCCATCGCCGCTACCATCCGCTTCACCCTTGGTGCTGATGCTTGCTGCCACTTGCCTCTCCTTAGGCATGGGGACCACAGGGATCTGCCACATCTCGTTGTAGACATCCCTATCCTCGTGAAGGTCCCAAAGAATCCGCTCGCCAAGCCTCGCGGTGTAGGTCTTAGCTCCCTTTGAGCTTGTGTCGATACCGGCCTTTTGCAACCGCCACACAGAAATCAGGTTGGCAGCAAGGTTGGGCACCCAAACCACGTTCTTGAGGCCCACCATCTTCCCATCAGCACCCTTGAACGTGGCCTTGCCCATGCCTTTCACCTCTGCTCGCTGCCCCAAAGCCGATGTCACATGCTTCATCGGTGATGGCTCAAGTTCGGTGAGCAAGTCCGCACGAGGTGTCATGCTATAGGTAGCGCCGCTATCGATCACCCAATAGCCCAGGGAGTGTAGGGTAACCTTCCCCACAGCTGCTGGCTCCTCAAAGCCTTCATCCATCTCTGGACCAGCCGGTGCTTGCGTGGACACGAAGAAGAATGGACCCGGAAAGCGATCGTCCCTCGACTCGCTCTCATTGCCGGCACTCTTCATACTTGCAGCACCACCTCCGCGACCGACACGGCCTCCACGGCCTCTTCCTCTCCCTCCTCCTGCTCCTCTACCCTCTTGGCCTTGAGCAAGAGTCCATCCATCAGGGAGCTTGTAGCAATCGTGCCACATATGTCCGCTCTTGTGACAATAGTGGCACTCGCCGTCGAATCGGCCGCGACCGCGTCCGTAGCTCTTGTTATCGCTGCCGTATCCCCCACTCCCGCGGCCTCCATTGAAGTTGTTGCTGCCAAATCTGCCTCCCCCTCGTCCTCTGCCCCTTCCACGGCCATACCCTCGGCCGATGCTTGCTGCCCCGGCGCCATCCGCACTCGCCAACTCACGGCGGCGGAAGTCCTCTTTAAGGATCGCTCGCTTCACGTCTTCAAGCGAGAGGTGGGGCAAGTCAAGATTGAGGTTGATGATGAGCGAGGACCATGACTCTGGGAGTAAGGCCAGCAACTTGGTCTTCTTTTGGAGCTCACTGTAGTTCAAATGAGCTCCCTCAAGCCGCGTCAACAAGTCGAAGAATTTCAGCACCCCTTCTTCAATCGCTTCGTCTTCTTCAATTCGTAGTGCCGCCATTTGCCGTTCCAACACCACCGCTACCGCCGCTGTTGCAGGAGCGTGTACACCCTTGAGAGCAGCCCATGCCTCTGGTCCCTTCTCTGGTTCACGCTGGAATGGCTTGATGTGACGGATCTGGCTGCTCCCCAACGCTTGCCCAAGTAGGAGATAGCCTTGTGCGCTCTTCCGCACCCACGGGCTCTTCTCCGGGTCGTTCGCGGGGCGCTTCTCCGTTCCTTCCATCACCTCCAGCAGGTCATAGTGGTCAAAGATGTTCCCCATCTTGAAGGACCATTCAGCAAAGTTGTCACCGTTGAACTTGTCAAGCCCAAACACCCTAGGCTCATCCCTAGAAGGGCCAAGTCTTTTGTTGCACGGGCGCCATGGCTGAATCACGGGGTTGGCCTTGAGCTTGGGCTTCTCCACTGCCACCAGCACCTCTGCCACCCCTTTCCTCAGGTCCAGCCATTGTCGAGACTGATCCAAGGGGCTCTGATACCACTTGATATAGTCACAATAGGCTTGAATGTGCCTAAAACGAAAGATAGAGTGCATAGACGGATTTCTGCACAGCGGCTTCAAAAGTTGATAGCGTTCTGGTCTCAGCTTCAAATGACCTGATTCAACTTGGATCTGGAGCTTCTTAACGTCGCCTATAATAAGCAATTTAGATTGCACGATTTCATAAAGAATTGACGACACAGCGTTGGTTAGAACGAACGGCACTATGGCAGCCACTATGGTCTTAGAACACAAGATAGGAAGAGTTACGAGTTGGGAATGACTCCCAGCTCCTACAAACCCCAAGAGCCGAGGTACAGTGATGTGGAACAGTGCCACACTATCCCCAACCACGAAGGGTCCGAAAATACCCTCCACAAGGGCCTACACCAAGAGAAATGTTACACTACAAAAAGTAATGCAACTATTCTCACTATCTTAAAGTTTACCCTTTTTGGAGAGCTTCGAAAATACTTGATTCTTGAAACCAAGGCTCTGGTTCTTCAAGATAAAATTCTTCCTTGAGTTCTTGGAAGTCTGCTACGCACACCTGCGACACGCCGAACGTTCCACACACGACAAAATATAAAACCGCACACGACACGCAAACGACGACGTGACACTCGACTAGCGATAACTCGCTATTGACTCGACACACACATTCAACATCATGCCTCATCATTCACACACTACTGTAAGCATGAAATATATATTATTTCATGCCCTCATGCCATTCCATGCACACACGCATGCACGCACACGGACAACAAGCCGAATGCAAACCGTAGGGTTGCACCAACAATAACTAGAATGCTCAACACTAGAGTCATCAGCATACATCACAGAGACAGATCGTACATCATCTAAGTCTGCAGCAGACATGCTAAACAGCTATGGGCCAATAGTGCAAAGCAGTGAGGCCCAGTCGGGGACAGTGGCGCTGCGGCCAAACTGCGCCTGGTAGTGGTCAGTGAGTTGCGCAAAGCACTGACCAGGGGGGTGGTGGCGGTCACAAGTGCGGCTGTGGCGTGGCCCAGTTTGCACCCAGTACTGATAGGGAGGGTGTGGCTAGCCACGCGACGTCCCGCTGGGCGGGACGCAACTGCTGATAGAGCTCGCCGGTCCGGTCGGCCTTCACGGCTGCTGCTGGAGCCACTACTGGGTCTGCTGGCGCAGTCCCTGGAACTGCTGCTGCTGTTGAGGCTGCTGCTGTTGAGGCTGCTGCTGCTGCTGCTGTGGCTGCGACTTTTGCTGCTGTGGCTGCTGCTGCTGCTGCTGGGGCGCCCCACTACCTCCTCCTCCACTGCCCCCTCCTCCACTACCGCCTCCTCCACTGCCACCTCCACCCCCTCCACTCCCTCCACCACCACCCCCACCGCCTCCCCCACTGCCACCACCACCTCCTTCTTTCTTGCCACCCTTCTTGCCCCCTTTGTTGCCCGAGGCAACCGCCGCCACCTCTGTCGCAGTAGCAACAGGGGCGGTGGCCAGAGGGGAGGCAAGGAAGGACGGGGCACACCCTTGAAAGATAGGGGGGAAGACAATACTGGTGGCAGCAGCAAGAGAGCAGGCAAGATCCTCTACAGCAAGAAGCCTCTTCTCAAAGATGTCAATAGTGAGGGGGATAGGGTTGATAGTTAGAAAGTGGTCACGAGCGGAAGCAAAACGGTCAGGGAGGCGGGTGGCAAGGAGGTACAGTGTCATCCAGATCATCGGGGGCATGGTAGCAAGCAAGGTCTGGTTAGGGGCAGCAGTGCGAAGCCCAGCGTTGAGCGAGCGCAGGTGCAGAATGAGATCAGCAACACGGTCAAGCAAGGACAGCTTCGGAAAAAGAAATGGTATAACGTGACGGCCGAGGGACATAGTGGTCGGGGTGGAGTAGCGAAGAACAGCAACATCATACAGGCCCTTGGCCGTCACCTGCTGGTCAAAGTGGGACAGCTCGGACGGCGGGAGGAGGTCGAGGATAGCAAGGACGGTAGCATCATCCCGTGCCGCCCAGCGACTAGCCTTCAATTGTGCCTTGTCAAAGTGGGCCTGCTGTTCCTCTGTCAGGGAGGGACCAAGAGGGTCGGGCTCGGGGGGGGGGGCTGCAACTTGTCAGTGGCATGCTCGACTAGGCACACATCGTTCTCGCTCTTGCTCCCTAGATGGAGCTTGAGTTTACGTAGCCATCCCGCAAAGTCTACCGGGCACCCCTCAGGATCGAACATCAAAACACGGGAGGTAGCCATCGCTAGAGTGGCAAGAGTTTCCACTAGCAAAGTTGGAGTTCCACAGTTGTTCAAACAAGCAATAACAAGAATGACTACATCAGGCACCTAGCAACTCTGCAGCTAGCCTGGTCGACCGCCAGCACCACATGGTCGACCGCCTGCCAGCGTTGCGTAGAGGAGCCGCGCCAGCACTGCAGAAAGACGACCTGCCAACACAGCAGGTCAACGGTGTGCCAACGCTGCAGCAGAGCGACTATCCAGCGTTGCCCCGTAGAGGACAGCAGTGCGCACACTCGCAGATGCACGCAGACGATTGGCCCGAATTGCACCGTTGTGCATTCGTCGGCTGTTGTCTGCGCCTGACGAGGCACATCGACTTTGGGATACCAACCCGAAGTCGCCTTCGCCATTGCGACCTCGACGACGTTTGCGTGCCTCCGCAGAGCTCGCCGAGCAAGTTACCCGGTCGACCTGGACAACCCCAAGTGCCTCTGGTCGACCACCGGATCCCTCTGGTCGATCACAGCTCCCGTCGAGCTACCCCCTGGTCGACGGACCCCTTCCGTCGACCAGAACTGTCAGCTGTTGTCGACGAGCTCCCCTTGTCGACTACTGCTCACTTCTCAGGTCGACGGACTGCTCCGTCGACCTCCCGGTCGAACAGACCCTCCTGGTCGACGGCCCACCTGTCGCCCAGACCAGTCAGTTGCAGCTGTCGAGCTCCATGGTCGACAGCAACACCACAGCGGTCCCCTGCAGCTCGACGAAGCCTGTCGAGCAGCTCTCCCACTGTGGATTGTCGGCTGCTACTCCCGTACATCCGACCAAGTCGTCGGCGTTGCCCAAGTGAGGGCGGGGCCAACACTTCACTCCCGTTAACACTCCCCTGCCGCGCTCACGCTTGGGCGCCCAGCCCACACGGCAGCACACTACGGAGAAAACTCGTCCTCGGCGTGCACCCCTCACACAGCGCGCCATCACCGCACCAGCCGTGCAAAAGGGCACAACACCTACTGCTGCACATCATCGTCGCCGACGCCGACGTCGACTAGACGAACTTGGCCGATGTCGACAGAGCACCGGTTGAAAGCCGGAAAGTGCAGCGCCTTCGTCAGGAAGTTTGCCGGCTGCTCGGTGGTCGGGATGTACTTCAATACGAATTTCCCGCATCTCACCATGTGCTGCAGCCAGGCATAGCGTCGCTCCATGTGCTTGAGGTTGCCCGTCAGCCCCAAGCCCTCAGCGACCGTAATTGCCGACTTGTTGTCGACGCGCAGGATGGTCGGCTTCCCAGCGTCGAGCAGCTTGAATTCCGCAAGAAGGAAACAAAGTCGGCGTCCCTCCTTGCCTGCATTCGTGGCCGCAACGTACTCCAACTCTGTCGACGACAATGTCGTGCACTTGATGCGCGAGCTCGACCATGAGACGGCGGCCCCTCCGTAGACGAACACGTAGCCGCTTGTGCTCGTCCGCTTTTGCTCGTCGCCCGCGTCATTGGCGTCCACGTAGCCGATCAGCTCCGGTGACTCTGGTCCACCGCCGAACTCCAAGGCGGTGTCGCGGGTGTCAGCAAGGTAGGCGAGGCAGCGGTCGACCTCACGCCAATGCTGGTCGCTCCTCATCGTGAGGCCGCTCCCCAGCTTGCTGCAGGCGAACACGATGTCCGGCCTCATCGTCGTCGCCGTGAACTGCAGCGAGCCAACCTTCTGCCGGTACTCCTCCTCCTCGCTCTCCTGCACCTCCTCGTCGTTGAATGTCAGCTCGGCGTAGGCATCGACCGAGACCGGCGTCTTCGGGACTCAACCGCCCTGCTCCTCGTCGATGAAGCGCCTGCGCAGCTTGTCGGCGTAGCCCTGCTGGTGAAGCCACAGCTTCTTCGCTAGCCTGTTGCGCACGATCTCGAGCCCGAGGTACTTGACGACCGGCGAAATCTCGCGTAGCTCGAAGGCAGCCTCCAGCAGCTCCTTTAGCTCCTTCAGCATCGCGGGGCTGCTGCTGGCGGCGAGCAGGTCGTCGACGTAGACCAGCACCCAGCAGTTCACTCCAATGTCTCCGGCCTTGTAGTAGAGCGCCTCATCGACCTGGCTCTTCTTCCAGCTAGCGCCCAGCAGCACACCGTCGAGTGCCCTGTACCACAGCAGCAGCGATTTCTTTAGCCCATAGAGGCTCTTCAGCAGCTTACACACCCGGCCAGTCCCATCGTTGAAGTAGTCCGGCTGGTACATGTAGAGCACCCTGTCGAGCTTGCTCTACAGGAAAGCGTTCTTCATGTCGAGCTGCATCAGGTTGAGGTCGAGGACGGCGACGATGCTGAGGAAGATTCTCAGCGTGACGTAGCTGCTCACCGGTGAGTACGTCTCGTCGTAGTCGGCACCGCACACCTGCGTGAAGCCCTTCACGACCAGCCTCGCCTTCTCGCGCTTGACGGTGTCGTCGAGGCGGTACTTGGTCGTCAGCACCCACCGGTTCTTCATGATGTTCACCCCGCGTGGGCGTTCGACCAGCTCCCAAGTGCCCATGCCGACGAGGCTGCGGATCTCTTCTTCCATGGCGGCCTTCACCGCCTTACCCTTCCAGCTCGCCAGTGCCTCCTTTACCTTCATCGTGGTGATGTCCCAGCGGTGTTCGGGGTCTGCGTGCATGTCGGGGTCAAGCTCCGGCAGTTCTTCATCCTCCTCGGCGTCGTCGTACAACAGGTCATCGTCAACCTCGTCGTACACAGCGGTGAAGGCAGCTGGCGGTAGGCAGGCGTGGAAGCTTAGCCGCTCCGGCGGCCGTCGAGCTCGACTAGTGCGTCGCAGCTCAGGCTTCGTGATTGGCACCTCCACCTCGTCACTGTCGGTGGACTCTTCTCCTGCCGACAGCTCCCCTTCTTCGTCGACTGTCAAGTCGTCAACCAGCTGCTTTGAACCTTCGACCAGCTGCTCACTTCCTGCTGACTTCGGCAGCTCCCCTGTCGACTGCACCCCTGTTGCTGCCTCTTGTTTGACCGGCTCCCCTGTCTGCTGCTCCCCTGTCGTCGACGGCTTCCCATCCTGGTCGACGAGCTTGGCGCCTTTTCGATCGCCGACAATGCCTCTGGCCGGCGCCACAGGCGACGCCTCAAGGCTCCCCTCATCGCCGGTGGCCGACACAGGTGTCGACGCAGGCCGATCTGCGACGAGGAAGGGAGGAGCAAGAACCGGGGAAGGTGGAAGGACCTCCACAACATCCTCATCAGCAGGCTCATCGACTTCGGCAAGCAAAGGAACCGTCGCCGTCGAGGTGTCCGTCGGCGGGTGTGCCTGCGTCCGCCCCGACGCCGGCCCAAACTTCGCCTTCCACACCTCCAGTGACAGCGTCTCGTAGAAGATCACCTCGACCGACGTGACCACCTTGTTGTCGGTCAGGTTGAGCACCTCCCAGCCCTTACTCTCCGGCGACACGCCTAGGTGAAGCCCCCAGCGAGCTTTCGGCGCCAGCTTCCCACCTCGCTGCTGCTCAAGAACCATGAACTGCACCATGCAGCCCCACGCCCGCGCCAGCGTGAGGTCGGGCTTCTTCCCGATCAGCAGCTGGTACGGAGTCGTCCCCGGCGGCGTCGTCGACCGCTCCAAGCAGTTGCGCACCCAGACAGCTTGTCGTAGAGCGAGGTGCCACCAGTGGTGCTGCACGCCCATGTGCAGCAGCATCGTCCTCATGGACTCGACGGCTGTGCGCATCTCCCGCTCAGCCATGCCGTTCTGCTGCGGAGTGTAAGGGCACGTCAGGTCGTGGACGATGCCCTTCCCGTCGACGAAGTCGGTGAACTCCTTCCCGAGGAACTCCCCTCCCCGGTCTGAGCGGAGCATCAGCACCGACTTCTTCGCCTGCCGTTCCACCAGTACCAGCCACTTCTGGAACTCCCGTAGCACATCGCTCTTCTTAGCAACCGGCATCACCCACATCGAGTGTGGCGATCCTTCAGCAGCAGGAAGAACAAGCTGCCATCCTTGGCAGCAACCCGAAATGGCCCACAGCAGTCAATGTGCACGACAACCAACGCCTCCTTCGCGTCCGAGACTTTGTCGGGGAAAGTGTGCCGCGCCAGCTTTCCTCCGACGCACGAGACACATGGTGGGTCTGCTCCGGTCGACGGAGTGATGTCAAGCCCAGTAGCAACTTTATGTTTCGCCGAGCTCTTGATTGTGTCGACGCTGACGTGCGCGAGTCTAGCATGCAACCGGTCAGGGGTCGACTTCGTCTCCGAGACGATCGTCCGCAGAGCCACTACCTTGGTTGACTGCGACCACATCAAGCAGGGGTGAAGGTCGGTGCAGAGGACTCGTCCATTGTAACGTGCTCGACCGAGCACCTCCCCAGTTGCAGCGACGAGAAGCATCTCGTCACCGTCGCTCTGCAGCTGCACTCCGCTCTCCTTTAGCTGGCCAGCAGATAGCAGGTTCGCCTGTATGCCCGGAACGTAGAGCGCGTCGGGGATGAGGACCCGCTTTCCGGCCTCCCCTTGTAGAGCAACGGTTCCGCGGCCCTCAACAGGCTGTAGTGTTATAGTTACAATAGGCTTGAATGTGCCTAAAACGAAAGATAGAGTGCACAGTCAGATTTCTGCACAGCGGCTTCAAACAATGATAGCGTTCTGGTCATAGCTTCAAATGACCTGATTCAACTTGAATCTGGAGATTCTTAACGTCACCTACAATAAGAAATTTAGATTGCACGATTTCATTAAGAATTGACGACACAGCGTTGGTTTGAATGAACGGTACTATGGCAGCCACTATAGTCTTAGAGCACAAGATAGGAAGAGTTAAGAGTTGGGAATGACTCCCAGCTCCTACAAACCCCAAGAGCCGAGGTACAGTGATGTGGAACAGTGCCACACTGTCCCCAACCACGAAGGGTCTCGAAACTACCATCCACAAGGGCCTACACCAAGAGAAATATTACACTACACAAAGTAATGCAACTATTCTCACTATCTTAAAGTTTACCCTTTTGGAGAGCTTCGAAATCACTTGATTCTTGAAACCAAGGCTCTGGTTCTTCAAGATAAATTCTTCCTTGAGTTCTTGGAAGTCTGCTGCACACACCTGCGACACGCCGAACGTTCCACACATGACAAAATAGAAAACCGCACACGACACGCAAACAACGACGTCACACGCGACTAGCGATAACTCGCTATTGACTCGACACACACATTCAAAATCATGCCTCATCATTCACACACTATTGTAAGCATGAAATATATATTATTTCATGCCCTCATACCATTCCATGCACACACGCATGCACGCGCACGGACAACAAGCCGAATGCAAACCGTAGGGTTGCACCAACATTCAGTGCCCTGTTGAATCCACGCACGTGCTTCACGCTGTCTCTCGGCGCCATGTCGACGAAGACCGTCTTTGTCCCCATCAGGTGGTGGGAGCAGCCGCTGTCGAGTAGCACCGCCATCGGGTTGGCTTGCACAGCTGCCGCCACCGCCTGGAAGTCCTCGCTAGCCTCCGGCGCCAGCGAGACCGTCGGCTCCGCTACGCCGACCATCGAGCACGACGCCTCCCCGTCGCCTTGGCTCTTACCGCTGGAATTGTTGACGTCCTTTGTCGACGACGTCTTCTTCGACGTCTGCTTCTCCTTGCGTGGCTTCGCATCTCGACGTGGGCGACGGGTGGTCGATCTACCGCGGCCTCCCTTGGTGTCGTCCTCGTCGCTGTCATCGCGGTCGGGACACTTGTAGGAAAGGTGGTCGGGATCGTGGCAGATCCAACACTCCCGCCGTCGACCACCACCTCCACGGCCCTTGTCCTGTGTCGACCTCTTCTCGTCGACGTCCTCCGTCGACCGCCCACCTCCGCTCGGCTTCGTGCGCTGCCCTTGCTGCTGATTCAGCTTCGTCGGTGTAGCGTAGTTTGCCTGAGGAAGGAGCTCCGTGGGCTGTTCGGCCTCCTGCATCGCCTCGTCTTGAAGGATGTAGCTGGTGATGGAGTCCTCGTCGAGGGACTCACGCGTCCCGAGTACCATCATCATCCTCTTCATGAGGTTGTAGCCGCGCGGCAGGCCCTTGACGATGTGGGAGATGTAGGACGCCATCGAGTATTCGACACCTGCCAACCGCATCTCAGCCAGGATCCGTCGAGCACGGTTGCAGTAGTCCGTTGCCAACTCCTGCTCGCCCATTCGAATGTGGGTCATCTTCTCCTCCAGGTGTGCGATGTACAGGTTGTCCCTGACCTGGTACGTCGACAAGATGAAGTGCCATGCCTGGTGACCAGCATCCAGTCGCTCTTGACAGCTCCTGAGCGCCAGCTGCACCACCGGCGAGCAGCACCTCGAGATGACCATGAAGGTGAGCAAGTGAGCCGCACCAAACTCCCCGCGTAGCCCGACATCGTCCACGGACGGAATTGGCACTGTGCCGTCGGCGAAGCCCTTCAACTCGGCGACCTCTATCTGAGGTTTTATCGACTCCCTCCAGGTGATGAGGTCCCGTCGACCTTGCAATGGTGCGACGGTGATCCGATCCGGCGAGAACTTGAAGTTGTTCTGCTTTCTGCTGCTTCGTGCCATTGTTGCCGCTGACTCGTGCACCGCCGTCGAACTCGTCGTCGATGCCACCTTCATTTCGCACCGGTCAAGGAGAAACAGGACAGGATGGGTGTTCCGTCGCCCACTACGACCGGATGCCCAACTCGACGATCAACAAGGGGATCGTCCCGTACTCGCCATCCGCATGGCGTTTCCTTGCATCAGCCAAGCGTGCCTCCAAGGTGTCCGCTACGCCCGCATTAGCTACGGGGTCCACCATGGTGACTATCGCTGCTGTCGGCCTACGAACGACTTAGTAGGTGCAAAAGTCGGCTCCTGTCTGAAGGTAATCTGCATGGCCCTCCACGCTCAACGCACCATGCGGAGATTCACTCTACAACGGTAGTGAGCTAGACTACGGGGGTTGGCACGAACTACTGGTAGTGATCGAAGCTTTGCCTAGTTCCTTAGTGCTTGCACAATCACGGGAGAAATTGGCAAGAGTTTCCACTAGCAAAGTTGGAGTTCCACAGTTGTTCAAACAAGCAATAACAAGAATGACTACATCGGGCACCTAGCAACTCTGCAGCTAGCCTGGTCGACCGACAACACAGCATGGTCGACCGCCTACCAGCGTTGCGTAGAGGAGCCGCGCCAGCACTGCAGAAAGACGACCTGCCAACACAGCAGGTCGACGGTGTGCCAACGCTGCAGCAGAGCGACTGTCCAGCGTTGCCTCGTAGAAGACAGCAGTGCGCACGCTCGCAGATGCGTGCAGACGATTGGCCCGAATTGCACCGTTGTGCATTCGTCGGCTGTTGTCTGCGCCTGACGAGCCACATCGACTTCGGGATACCAACCCGAAGTCGCCTTTGCCATTGCGACCTTGACAACGTTTACGTGCCTCCGCAGAGCTCGCCGAGCGGGTTACCCGGTCGACCTGGACAACCCCAAGTGCCTCTGGTCGACCACCGGGTCCTTCTGGTCGATCACAGCTCCCGTCGAGCTACCCCCTGGTCCACGGACCCATTCTGTCAACCAGAACTGTCAGCTGTTGTCGACAAGCTCCCCTCGTCAGCCGCTGCTCACTTCTCAGGTCGACAGACTGCTCCGTCGACCTCCCGGTCGAACAGCCCCTCCAGGTCGACGGCCCACCCGTCGCCCAGACCAGTCAGTTGCAACTGTCGAGCTCCCTGGTCGACAGCAACACCACAGCGGTCCCCTGCAGCTCGACGAAGCCTGTCAAGCAGCTCTCCCACTGTGGATGGTCGGCTGCTACTCCCGTACATCCGACCAAGTCGTCAGCGTTGCCCAAGCGAGGGCGGGGCCAACACTTCACTCCCGTTAACAGAACCGAACCCTAGTTGTTGCATCTGCACCGAACACGATTCGGTTGTGGTTGGACATTTTAGGTTACGGAAATGTCTTCTCGACATTTTCAGAAACCCACTCTCCCACCATTCCGTTTTTTCCCGCTTTCTTCATGCTTTCCTTCCGTAGCTTCTTAGCGTGCAACCCCACCGTTCTAGCCGTAGATTCTCCGCATTAGGTCGACATTTCCCACCGTTCCTAGTGTCTATCTACCGTCCCTAGGTTAGGCGCGTAGGCAGGTGGACACTAGGGCAGTGGCGAACCACCCTAATGTCAGAATAGTGAACGAATGAATGACAGAACTAGCAAGCAAGTGGGTACAAGTAGGAAACCTAAAAGTCGTGTACCCTATATGAACTACCCCACTACAGCCTAGATAGACTATAGCATATAAGTTTTACACACCCCCATAGGAAAAGTGGGGGAGAACAAGAGGTCACAAGACCAGTCAAGAAAGGCAAAGCAAGCTCAGGGTGGATCACAAAGTCACCACGCAGTCTGAGCACAAGCAAATGGCCACAAGGCCAGTTCACATGCAGAGTTATAAAAAGGAGAACAAAAAATACAGTGAACACAATCTAGCAAGTGTAAGCATGCAGGTATATGTATAGAGAGTACAGTACAAGCAGAGTCAAGAAGTAAGCAAGTGAGGCACAGTAGGTACAAGGCCTAGAACAGTACAGAAACGCTGATGATCACAAGGCTGAAGTGCCTTGGTGAAACATCAGTAGTGTTGGCCTGAGAGGCCACGTAAGCAAGACGAAGCTGACCACGCTGCTGCAACTCTCGAGCAAGGAAGTAGCGCAGAGCAATGTGCTTCGTTCTGTGCTCCAGTCTGTGCTCCTGACACAAGGCAAGCATTGCCTTGTTGTCGACGTACAGAACTGGAGGAGAACGAGGCGCCTCTCCCAAGTCGGTCAGCAGGTAGGTGAGCCAGCGTAACTCCTGTGCAGCCATGGCCCCAGCGTAGATCTCAGCCTCACAGCTGGAGCAGAGAAAAGAAGAAGAGCAGGTAGACCGCCAAGAGACAGAACCGGAGCGAAGA